GGGGGGGGCCCTGCAGATCCCTGCAGGAAGCAGCCCGGCAGGCCCGGAGCCCCTTGTGGATTCCTCTCCTCTTCCACAGTAGGCCCTCCTCTCCCCTCCTCCCTGCTATTGTCCTTGCAGCCCCCATCTGAGACAGGTGAAGTGGAGAGGGTGACTCAGGGTGGGGGAGGGCATTTGGACCTGGTGCTCGACAGCCCTCTAAGCCCCCCCCCCCGTCCTCTGCCGCACACACACACACACACTTTGTGCGATGCCCCTTCTCGCCCCAAGGGTGACTTGCCTGGGGAGGGAGCTTTCCTGCCCTCCCCCACTTGCACACCTTGGGTTTCCCCCGGCTTCCTCCTTGCAGAGAAGGGTGTCCCCGGAGCTCTGCGGTGGCTGCAGAAGACACTGACCGACCCAGACAACCAGGACCTGGTGGAGACAGCGGAGGCCCTCTTTGTCCAGCGGGACTTGCCACTGACCCCGGGGTTCATGCCCAGGTTCTACCAGATGTTCCGCCAGATGGTCAAGCAGGTGGACTTCCGGGAGAGCGAGCGGGCGCGCCGCATCATCAACGTCTGGGTACAGCAGCACACGGCAGGTGAGGCTGCGGGACCCAGAGGGGGCTGATGGTCCAGGGACACGGAGCTTGGGAGATTCGGGGAAGCGGGAGAGGAAGGCTCCCCGGGGGGGGGGGGCAGAGCGGTTGGGGCTTGGCTGGAAGAGGAGGAGACCTGGGGGGGCTTCCGGAGGCGAGAGCGCCCTTGGAGCTGGGATCGTGCACCGAGTCAGGCAGTCCAGCGGAGTCCCTCCCTGTCCTCTTTCGCTTCCCCTGATGACGATGACCCTTTCTAAGTGGTCTGGACCAGGGACCTTCTGCAGGCTTAGCAGAGGCTCTTCCGCTGACCCACACAGCCTTCTCCCCGAACTGCTGGGAGCCAGGAGGCCATGGGTCACTGAGGCCCCAGGAAGGATGCCAGTGAGTCGGGGCTCTTGGGTCCTCCTTCTGGGCGCGTCGCCACAACTGCCTTTCCCATTTCAGGCATGATCCAGGACTTCTTGCAGGAGGGGACCCTGGACGAGATGACCCGGCTGGTGCTGGTCAATGCCATCCACTTCAAGGGCCGCTGGAAAACACCGTTCCCGGAGGCAGCCACCCGGCAGCGCCTCTTCCACAAGCTGGACGGCAGCTCCGTCTCGGTGCCCATGATGGAGCAGATGGGCAAGTTCTGCTACGGTGAGCGGCGGTCCCTGTGCGGAGGGCCTTTCCCCACTAGGGTTAGGGTCAGGGCTCCTGGAGCGGCAGGTCTAGCCAGGGTGTGGCCAGCTCTGCTGCAGGGCAGGTGTGACACTCCACCCCCACCCCCCGTTTCTTCCAGGCGAATTCTCCACCCCAGAGCAAGTGGAGTACGATGTCCTGGAGCTGCCGTACCACGGGGAGACCGTCAGCATGTTCATCGCTGCCCCTTTTGAGAACACCCCGCTGTCGGCCCTGACAGCGGCCCTCAATGCCCAGCTGGTGGCCGAGTGGAAGAACAACCTGCTGTGTGCCACACGACTCCTGGTCCTGCCCAAGTAGGTGGCCTGGCACCTCCGTCCACCCAGCCCTGTGTTTGGTGTGTGTGTGTGTGGGGGTATACGGTGGAACCCTCAGCAGGTAGCCCCTCTGGGCCGGGGCGCGTGTCTTGCTCTGTGGCCGCTCCAGAGCCCTCTCTGACCCCGCCTTTCTCCTCCGCAGATTCACCCTGGAAACGGAGTGCGACCTGCGGGAGCCCCTGCAGGCCCTGGGCGTGACTGCCATGTTCGATGCCCACGCAGCCGACTTCAGCCGCCTCTCAGGTGGGTCTTCTGGGGCCCCTGTCTGGGAAGGGCCTTCCCTCAGCCCCGGGCCTGCCTGGAGAGCCGCTCCTCTGCCCTTTTGTGTGTGTGTGTGTGTGGGATCCTGGAGGCTGGCCGCGTGGAGTGCTCTGCAGCAGCCCGAGGGATCTGCTTGCCCGTCGCTGGGTGTGGACCAGGCAGCTGCCCAATCCTACCTCTTCCCTCCGGGTAGAAAAGAGCCGGAGTCCAGGAGCACCTGAAAGGTAAACAGAGTTGGTGGCCGGCTGTCTGAAGAAGAAGAAGTGTGAGCCGTGACTCGCTGAAGCTCCTCCCCTGCCACCAGTTGGGTGAGCCTTCTTGAGGGGGCTCCTGGACGCTGGCTCTTTTCCGCTGCTGCTGCAGACAGACTAACCCGGTGGCTCCCCATTGTCCTCTACCCTCCTGGTGTTAGGGGCCAGAAGCCCCGAGGCCCCCGTCTCTCCTTTTCAGGGGCTGCCCTCCCCGTTGGAAAGGAGGGGGCTGGGGGGCCAAGGATGCGGGGGCTCTCCTTGCCCCCCCCCCACTCACAGGCCATTCTCCTTTCCAGACCGAGAGTCGCTCTTTGTGGCCCAGGCTCTGCAGAAGGTGAAGATCGATGTGAACGAGAGCGGGACGGAGGCGGCCTCTGCCACAGGTGGGTGCCGAAGCCGGGGAGAAGGGAGGGGAGGGGGCTCAGCCTTCTCCTTCTCGGCCTTGAACTCTCAGTCGATCCGTTACTGGATGCCGGTTTTTTGCACCTTTATGCAGAAGTTGAGTGAAAGCGCTCTTCAGGCCAAATATGGAGTACCCCGTAGAATGTTAGTGGCCCCAAAGCCAAATGATCCCTCTGCAGGATCCGGCGAGGGGGGGGAGGCGTTTGGGAGCCTTCAGGCTCAGGGTGTCACTGCCCCTCCCCATCCCGGGGCCAGGATTCTCCTCCGTGGCCTCCCCCAAAGGGTCACGACCTGCTCTTTCCGTTTTGCTTCTTCATTTTGGGGGTGGAGGGAAGAAGGAAGCATGGGGGGGTATCTGCGTCCTTGGGGGGCTGTGGTTCTCTGCACCCCCACCAGTGCCTCTCGGCACAGCACGGCAGTTAAAGCTTTCAGGGCCTCAGGAAAAGCCTCCCTCTTGTGTCTCCTCCTCCTCCTCTCTCCAGCTGCCGTGGTCTATGCCCGGATGGCCCCGCTGGAGCTCGTGATGAACAAACCCTTCCTCTTTGTGGTGCAACATAACCCCACCGGTAAGAGCCCGCAAGGCATGCTCGGGGGGGGGGGCACTGCCATTATTCCACCCTCTACCCCCATGCAGACACAGGCCACAAGCCGCTTCCCTGACACCTCCTAGACTTTCTGTGCCAGAGAATCTCTCTGCTAATGTATGCAGAGGCAGCAATCGAATTGAGAACCCGAGAGTCCTGCCTTCCAGCCCCTGCACATACACCATCCCACACACACACACACTGAAGAGTGCAAGCAAGGCTTCATATGAAACACTCCGCCCCGCAACTATCCTCTAGGACAGATTTTTAACAGCAGGGTTTGTGCCCAGTACAACCGATGTACCTTTTGGCAAAGCCCGTGAGAACATCTTTGCAGTGGAGGGGAGTGGGTAACCCAACCAAGTGATATATTTACTTGGGGTGGGGTGGGAGGGGAAGCTGAGTTAAGGAGCAGTAGAAACCTGGCCCCTTGTGGCTTCCTCTGGAACAGCTTCCTTTGGAGACGGCCTGGCTTCATAGGTGCAGGAAAATGAGGTGGGAGAGAAGACTCACTGCGGCCACGGATTCCACTTTCTGGAGCTCCTTCGTACTTAAAAAAAAAATGCTCTGTCCAAACAGAAAACTCTCAAGGGGAATGCATCTGCCTCCTCCCCTATGGTTGGGATTCTTATTTAAAATCGATGGATGCATTCCAAACACAAGAGCCACACCATGCTTCAGTTCAAAAAAAAAATATCTTTACTAGAGAAAAACAAACATGGGAATGGTACTTTGGATAAAAGAAAATAAAGATGACATATTTGCAGCTACTCTAATATATCCTATCAGCTGCATCGCAAAAAAAATGGTTCCTTTTTCTATCTCTTGTGAATACATGAATGCTGTATCACAGCATTTCTACAAACAAGATGCTAGCTGACCAAAGCAAAGGTTACAGGTCACTTCATTGGGATAAACAGCTCCCGCAAACTTTCCCGCCGCTGAATACATTAGACAGCGTCACACCTCGTTTAGCTAGATCCAGGCGGGTCGGAGCCGTGCTGGTCTGAAGCAACAGAACAAATTCAGAGTCCGGCGGGGGCACCTTTAAGACCAGCAAAGTTTTATTCAAGGCGTGAGCTGTGGACTTAAAGTTGCCATCGGACTCTAACTTTATCCTGTTCAGCTAACAAACATCATTTAACTCTGTAATGACTGAAATGTGAGCAGCTTGTATTCCACCACCTACGCTTGCCGCTCTGGTTTATTCCTTCCAGGAAGTGCTGAATAACCCCAGACATGACTCCCTCCCTGTGTCATCTGGGCCCGGTGTGGGACCCTCACTGCTCTGGGCCCCCCGGGACGGGTGCACAGATAGGAAGGTGTGTGTGCTTTGCCAGTCCAATGACCTCTATTGGCGTGTAACCCTCGCAAGCTCATATACAACAGTAACAGCAACGACATCAAGTAATACTACAGAAACAGATATAAAAGGAATTGCCATATAAATATGCCAGCGATAGAAAACCGATCAATTAAATAAAGGGCGAACAGAAGTAGCACCAGAAAGAAATTTTGCAACAGTTTCTGTTACCTCACAATTTGGATTACCAAGGAGAGTAAGGATCTTTAAACCATCAGAATACTCTCCTAATTGAGTCAAAATAGGGTTTAAGAATTCCAGACGTGGCGCATAATAGAAGGGGCACCGCAACAGTACATGGGAGGGGGTTTCGACACGGTCCTTTGTGCAGGGGCAGCATCTGTCAGAGAAGGAAGCAGCCAGATAATGAGGCCGGAGGAAGGGCTCTACGGATGGAGTCTGGGAATATGAAGTTGATAGAGATAAGGGGCCATTTGGCCAACTTTAGGGACTATTCCAGAATACAGAGAGGTGAACAGGTTTTGTTAGCGGCCTTATATAATGAATGTGACTCAGAGCGGAGTAGACTGGTTCTGATAACGTGGGCTTTGCCATCTCTCTGCCGTGTTGCCCGGGCTGGGGGAGATGCAGCACTTGGATCCCTGCCTCGTAATGCCTGGGCTCTTTTCCTTCCTCCTTCACAGGTGCCATCCTTTTCATGGGGCAGGTGATGGAGCCCTGATGCCCTACCCCCGAGCACCCACTCCGAGCTGTGCTGGTGCTGGCAGAAGCCTGTTCTCCCCTCACCTTCCTTTCCCCAAGAGACATGATGCTAACTAGAGCCCCCCACCACTGCTGCTGCTGAGGGAATGGGGGGGGCACATTGCCCTCTGAAGACCCAGAGAAGCTGGAAAGAGCGAGTCCTGCAGAATGCCCTCTGCTGCTCTCCCAGAGGCTTCCGTGGCCGGTTGAGAGAGAAAGAGAAAGAGAGAGAGGGCCCAGTCAAGAGGCCTCCCTGGCCCATTCCACCTCCGCCAGAGTCGGGTGAGGAAGACGGCTCACCCAGCAAGTGCCATGGGCAAGGCTGCAGGACCCCTTGTCCCCTGCAAGAAGGCCTGCTGGCAGCCGGGGGGGGGGTGCCCCCTGTGGCGTGGAGAAACCTTCAGGGGCCTCTCTCCCACCCCGCCAAGACGGAGGGGGGGCCTCCCTTCAGAAAGAGGGTTCACAGAGGAGAGGGCGGGGCAATGGACTCCTCTGTTGTACGTCTGTCTGTCTCACAGGATGACAACAGGAGCCCTTCTGTTCCTCAGCTGAGCTTGAACAGGGGCTTCCTTGAACACTGAATGACGACGCCTGTATTCTTTGCGCACTGCCAAGATGCGAGAACCTGATGGGGGCAGTGAGAGGAAAGATTTCATAGACTCTTCCTGTAATTTGCACTGAGTGGGCGTGCCCTGTCGCCCTGTGCGGGTGGTGGACAGTCCCCGGGACCACCGCTGAACCTTAGTGAGATTAATCCCCTCACCACGGAGCTCGGCTGGGTGGGGGGCGGGGCTCTCCCGGCCTCCTCCAGGTGCTGTAGCTCTTTAGGGTGCTTTCAGACTAAAAGGGCTTTTTTTAAAGTTTTCACGTTGTGAAGTTAGAAAATGAATGTAAGTTTTGTAGATATTTTTCAGTGAAAGGTCTCATCTGATGAAACTTTAAGTGAAACGCTTTAATGAGCGCTGCACCGTCACTAAAATATTTGAGACCATGCACTTCAAAGGAAACGACTTTAATGTTTTGTAAAGGAAGCGACTCTAATGATTTGTTATACACAGGAAACATAAAAATATTTTTCTCTAACTGTCTAAACCGTGACTTCGTTATTATATCATGGTTCTTTTCCTAACGAGCTACAGTCCGTCCCGTGAGATCCCTCTCTCTGCCCCTTGGACAACCTCCAGCTGCTGGCTGGAGACCTTCTGGGCTTACAGCTGAGATTGCCAGGCAACAGGCAGAGGTCAGCTCACGGGGGGGGGGGGGGGGGAGGGGACTCTTGGGGGGAAGGTGGCTGGCAAAAAAGAAAGGGAGCCTCCGAGTAACAGAAAAAGGGGGTGCTGAGTACCAGACGCCTGAGAGTAATTATAGAATAACTGTGAAAAGGAATACTAAAGATATGGATGAATGAAATCACAAAATTGTGAAAACAATAGTTATAATTACAAAAAAACAGAATATGCCCACAATAGCAATAAAAAGGAACATTTACCAAGAAATTTTTACAGTGATTATAATTATACACACACACACACACACCTACTATGGCATATCCAAAAAACTTAGCAAGTTTGGGAAAACATACTGCAAAATGGCATTTCTATGAGGAATTTAGAAGCCAGAAAATGACTTGCAACAAGACAGGATGCAGGCTGAATTCCTGTGTTTGATTTTTTGAATCTTCATCAGTCCTGAATGACCTTGTGCAAGTTAATTCAGAACACAGAAATTCAGAAGTGAATTGATGGTATGCAGTACAATGTAACTTCAAAGAACAATTATTATGGCGTCAATCTTCATCAGTGGTGAATGAGCTTGCCCTGGTTAATTAGGAAGCCAGAGACTCAAAAAAACCCAAATCTGTAGTGCCTAGTAGTCTATGTAGCTTCAAAAACAGTGCCGCTCATACTAAAAGGGCAATCTTGGTAAGTAGAAGGTGGACTCCGGCATTATACCCCGTTGGGAGTCCCTCCCCTCCCCAGCCCTGCCCTCCTTAGGCTCACCATCAAAATCTCCAGGCATTTAAAAACATAGGAGAAGTGTTGGGTATTACAAGTTGAAAACACTCAGTATATCTGGGGTTAAATGTTTGTTTCTGTTACTCACAGGAAGTCACATGTTTCTCATGTAACCAATGTTCTTTAGATGTAGAAAGCCCGGGAATTGTCTCCCTGATCTAGGGATTTGATTGGGACTAAAGGGTCAAGGTGTATTACCATTTGATGGCTTCTCTTCCCGTCTTTGTTGAGTGTTCTGAAGAAGAAGAAGAGCAGCCATAATGTCCTCTCTTCTAGTTTTGTCTTTGTAAAGTAAGGATGTAGCCGATTTAGCTCTGTTGTTATTTTCATCCCAGTTACCCTTCCCCATGCTAGAATTTAGTAAAAACTTCCTATTTTAATCACACATGGATTCTGGGTCTGAATTATTTTACTCCTGCACCGCTGGACCATCTTATCTCTGCTAAATACCATGTTTTCAGTATCTCACCATCACCCAACAAGAAGCCAACAATTCCATGATGTGTTAACCGCTCTGGGTGAAAAGGGAATCCTCCTCCGGGCCCTTCCCGGTGCCTCTCGCGTTAGGCGCCGGTCCCGCCCTCGGGCCTCTGTGCCAAAGGAGAACGCCCCCCATCACCATCACCCAACAAGAAGCCAACAATTCCATGATGTGTTAACCGCTCTGGGTGAAAAGGGAATCCTCCTCCGGGCCCTTCCCGGTGCCTCTCGCGTTAGGCGCCGGTCCCGCCCTCGGGCCTCTGTGCCAAAGGAGAACGCCCCCC